TTGCTAAACAACTGTAAGTTCAGAATTAGGATCTAAATAACTTTCTGTACTTTTTGAAGAAATTAATATTAAAATGGCGCCCAACGTGAAATTATTACTTTTCGCAAGTAAAGCTTAAACTTAAAATATTAGAGGAAAATAATATTTAAATGGCGCCCAACGTGAAATTATTGATTTTTCCAAGTAAAGCTTAAACTTAACCTATTAGAGGAAAATTATATTTAAATGGCGCCCAACGTGATATTATTGATTTTCCCAAATAAAGCTTAAACTTAAACTATTTGAGGAAAATTATATTTAAATGGCGCCCAACGTGAAATTATTGATTTTTCCAAGTAAAGCTTAAACTAAAACTAATAGAGGAAAATTATATTTAAATGGCGCCCAAAGTGAAATTATTGATTTTCCCAAACAAAGCTTAAACTTAAACTATTTGAGGAAAATTATATTTAAATGGCGCCCAACGTGAAATTATTAATTTTCCCAAGTAAAGCTTATTACAAAAAAAATTATGTAATTTTTAAAAATTGATTTCCCTCTTTCTACCTCAAGGAATTCTAGCTATTTGACTAGATACTTTGCATGGGATAATTCCTAAAAATATTTCTATTTCTATTACAAATACAATAAAAGCATTTCTAAATATTTTCGATATAGATTTTTAAAGCCTAGTTTTGTTATGATATTACAAATATTTTTAAAGAATAAAAAAGTTGAATATATACTTTTCTAAAAAATTAAATAATTTATATATTTACTAAGAAGTATTATTTTCAATATAAATATAGCGGAAGAAGAAGTTAGGAAAATACAAAGCCCAGTTTTTTTAAAGATTTTTACCACACGTATACATATAATATATTAAAAAATCTTCGTTTTTCTATTGCTACAAGAAATATATAAATATATGGACAAAGCTTAATACATAAAAAATTACACATATACAAGTACATATATATAATATGGGAAGAGACAGCGTTACAGATATAAATATTTACGATATAAATTATTTACGAAGACATTTAACAAAGTTACGCACAATAAAAGGAGGTTGAACATCATTGACTCAAAATACGCTTTAAGAGGGGCGGGGAGTATATATGTATGTATATAAAAATTTATAACAAAAAAAAAAAAAAAATAATATACTAAAGGCTGGGAATTCTTTTGTACACAAAAATCTCTATGGGGATCAATTAAACAATTTTATTTAATTATTTTTTATATGTAATATTTTTTATATAATTAAAAAAATAATTATTTCAATTTTACATTAAATATTAACAATTAATGTGTACACAAGATAATTTAATATTTATAAAAGCTTTGATTTTTTAAGATGATATATAAAAAAATAATGAAGCTATGTTTTTAAATTATAGAAAATGTATATGAATTAATATATATTATTTTAGAAACATTTATAACAGTGTGAATATTCAGAACAATTTTTAATGAATTACATCAATAATGGTGAAGCGAGTTGTATGGCTTATGAAAGGACCAGTTAAACGGGTCATTTACATTAAAACCCTCACAGATTTTTGTTTAAATAATATTTCTACAAAATTAAGCAGATTGTGAAATTTAAAAAAATAATATTTTAAGAAATAAACTGTTTGTGAATTATTAAAAAAAATATTTTATAATTTGTTTAGAAATTAAACATTTAAAATATTTTTTAAAATAAAACTTCTCGCGTATTAAAAAATGTTTTTTTTAGGAATAAAACGGCTAGTGGACTTATAAAATATATATATTACAATTTTTTAGAATTCTATTAGTTCATGGATTTTTTAAAAATATTTTTTTGACAATAAAATAATACGTGGTTTTTAAAAAAAAATATTTTTTAACAATAAAACAGCTAGTAGTTTTTAAATAATACTTTTTTTAAACAATAGAATAGCTCGCGATTTTTAAGAAATATTTTTTTTTAATTCATTGCTCGCGAATTTAAAAAAAAGATAGGAATACATGATCGTGAATTTAAAGAAAAAAATTTATTATAAAATTGCATAGATCGTGGATTTTTAAAACAATTTTCTATAAAAATTCATGGCTCCTGGTTTTTTTTAAAAAATATATTTTAGTAATTCGTTGCTATTGGATTTTTATAAAAAATATTTTATAAAAATTCATAGCTTGTAGATTAAAAAATATATTTTTTTATAAATATTCATAGCTCGTCGATTTTTATAAAAATCCATAGATTGTAGATTTAAAAAAATATATATATTTCATAAAAATTAAAATCTACGGCTCGCAAATTTTTTAAAAAATATTTTATAAAAATACATGGCTCGCGGATTTTTTTTAATTTTTTTATAAATTGTTTGCTCTTGGATTTTAATAAAAAATATTTAATAAAAATTCATAGCCAATGGATTTGTTAAAAAAAATATTTTTTTTTTAAATTCATAGCTCGTAGATTCAAAAATATTTTATAAAAATACATAGCTCGAGAAAAAAATTAAATATATTTTATAAAAATGCATAGCCCGTGGCTCATGAATTTCTTACAAATTATTTTATAAAAATTTATAGCTCGTAGTTTTTATAAAAAATATTTTATTAAAACTGAAGCTCGTAGATTTAAAAATATATATATATTTTATAAAAATTTATAGCTCGTAGTTTTTATAAAAAATATTTTGTAAAAATTCATAGCAAATGGGTTTTTTAAAACAAATATTTTTATAAAAATTTATTTAATAATATTTTAAAATATTTTTATAAAAATTTTTAAATATATATTTTATAAAAATTTATGGCTGGTGGATTTTTATAAAAAATATTTTATAAAAATCCACTGCTCGCGAATTTTTTAAAATATATTTTTAAAAAATCCATGGCTCGCGGATTTTTTTTAATTTTTTTATAAATTGTTTGCTGTTGGATTTTTATAGAAAATATTTAATAAAAATTCTTACCCAATGGATTTGTTAAAAAAATATTTTTTTAAAAATTCATTGCTCGAAGTTTCAAAAAATATTTTATAAAAATACATAACTCGAGAAATTTAAAAAACAATTATATATTTTATAAAAATACATAGTCCGTGGATTTTAAAAAAGTATATATTTTATAAAAATACATGGCTCATGAATTTTTTATAAATTATTTTATGAAAATTTATAACTCGTGGATTTTTATAAAAAATACTTTATAAAAACTGAAGCTTGTAGATCTAAAAACATATGTATTTTATAAAAATTTATAGCTCGTGGTTTTTATAAAAAATATTTTGTAAAAATTCAAAGCTAGTGGATTTTAACAAGAAAATATTTAACAAGAAAATTCAAAGCTCACGAATTAAAAAAAAAATATTTTATAAAAAATTCAAAGCTCATGAATTTAAAAAAAGATATTTTATAAAAAATTATAGCTTATTATTAATTTAACAAAAAATACTTGATAAAAATCTTTAGCTCATGAATTGTTTTTTTAAAAAATATTTCATAAAAAAATCAAAGCTCACGAACTAAAAAAAATATTTTATAAAAATGTATAGCTTATGAAGTTAAAAAAATATTTTATAAAAATCCTTAGCTCGTGTATAGTTTAAAGAAATGTTTTATACAAATTCATGACTCGTGAATTTAACAAAAAAATATTTTATAAAATTCAAAGCTCCTGAATTTAACAAAAATTAATTTATAAAAATTCATGTCTCGTGGATTTAAAAAAAAATATTTTATAAAAATTCACGGTTTTTGGATTGTTTAAAAAAATATTTTATAAAATGCCGCAGCTCAATGATTTTTTTAAAAATTATTTTATGAAAATTCCTAGCTCGTGAATTTAACAAAAAAAAAATATTTTATAAAAATTCATTGCCCTTCGATTTTTTAAAAAAATATATATTTTTTATAAAAATTTATGGCTCGTGAATTTTTTTAAAAATATATATTTTATATATTTTTTTTAAATATATATGTTAAAAAATATATTTTATAAAAATTTGTAGCTCGCGAATTTAACAAGAAAATATTTTATAAAAATTCATAGCTCGTGGATTTTTATTTTTTATGAAAATTTATAGACCATGAATTAAAAAAAAAAAAATAAATAAATAATAAAAATTCATAGCTCGTGGATTTTTTAATTTTTTTTATAAAAAATCATATCGTGACTTAAAATAAATTTAATTAATTTATTGATGATCTCCATAAAGTCTTTGAATTTCCAAGCTGTTATATACATATTTTTTGTTTATTTTTTACGCACGTTGATTTTTTTAAATATTTTTTTTAATATTTCTATTTAAGTTTTAGGCCTTGTTTAACTGGTCCTTAAATTGTAAATAGCGATGATGTTGATGACAACGATATTCATAAAAAACAACATAAAACACAAAAAACGCAACATTAAAACACATAAAATATTATCGGTTAATTAACACAAATAAACATGATTGATTTTGTTTGGTTTTAATACTTAAGCACAACATTAAGTTTTTTTGGTTAGTTTGGGGGGTAGAAGAGGGTGTTACATTTAACAACATTTAGTTACAAAAACACTTACACATAAACTTAAGGCTCTACAAGGCCATCAAATTGTACACCGCCGAGAAATGAAAAAGCCAAGAGATATTAGGGTGGCCCGACAGGGACAATTGAAAAATGCCTTATATGCCTTAAGCCAAAATACTAAATACAACAACAATAGTATTGTTTTATATACACAAACTTTAGTATCTTTTTTGTTCGGTGTGGAAAGGTTTAATAGAGAGAGAGAGGGGGCGGGGAGTTAAGGGTGTTTTACATCAAATATACAAATATAGATTTTTTTTTTTTTTTTTTTTTTTGGAAAAACAACAATAACACAAATTAATTGAACATTAACTAATTTTTTTTTGGTTAAACAAATTGAATTTGAAGGCTGATTTTAGGTTGTTTGGTATTTTTTTTTTGCTGACTGACTGACTGCCTGTTGTTGTGTTAGTTGTTTGGATTTTTTTTTGGCAAGTTTGGAAAGTCGGCAGGACGTTTACTTACCTAAGATGGATAAAATGACAACTACTACATCAAATAAATTCCATGGCTCTTTGAAATAGTGATATCGTAAAGCGAATATTTTTAATAGACATTCGCCACTGAAAATAACTACGAATATCCCATTGAGTTTGTCGAGGACATTGTTGTACGCCTCGGAGGCGTCGTACCGATCGAGGGTCATGGTAAACATGTTTAAGCCAATGAACAACATAATGATTATATCGAATTTTTTATCTGTAACTATTTCGAATACTATTGCTTGTGGTCGCCACTGGAAGGAAAAGACAAAAATTAAAATCAAACGTGGGTGGAAGATAAAATTGAGAAAAATACACAATACGAAAATAATGAACGGAATCGTTGGTAATATTCAAATAAATTAATAATAAATAAATAAATACAATACAATATATTGCATGGTGATCCGGATTTTTTTTTTGTTGGTTCTTTGCTCATAACCGGTTCATTCATATCGATAATAATTGTAATAATAATAATCTCGTACACACACAACCAAAAAATGAAAAGAGAAATTAAAAAAAATGTAAAAATAACTCAAAAGAGACTAAAAAATAAAAATTCGTTCTTCTAAATTAAATTCCATGAATTGAATTGTTCTCTAACGAACATTTTTGCTCCAACCCACTCTCTACATTGACAGAGAGCGAGAGAGAGAGAGAGCGGGCAAACGAGCCATGATGATGATCAATGTTTTCTAGTTGGTTCTCATGAGTTTACATCACATTGCATCATATCATTCAATCAATACATCATTCTCTGAGTTAGCATTACATTATTCGTTTAGGTAAGTTGATTGGTAAGTAGTTAGTTAGGTATATATATAAATAAATATATGAGAGTATTTTTTTTTTGTTGTTATAAGATCTGTGCCAATAATTAAAACTTTCTCTGTAGGTAGTTTATTGGGGGGGAGAGGGACGTTCGTATAGAAGAGAACTAATTTGAGAGATTAAGAGAGAGAGAGGGAAATGGGTCATATATGTATGGGCCATTCCCCACTTTTTTATTTTTTGGATAAATTTGGTGGGATGACCCAATAAATATTCGATTATTTTTTTAAATTGTTATTTAAGGGATTATTGTGGTTGTTTGTTGTTGGTAGTTGTGGTGGTGGTGGTGGCAGTGGTAGAGGGTAGTGTGGTAATGTGTGTGAAATACACATGCAAACCAAAACTGTTCTGTTTGGTAGGCAAACAGTGTTGTAAGGGTTTTTATTGTTTTGGAAAAGAATGACGATGAATTTCAACGACAGATTTTCAACTGGAGGATTAAAAAAAAAACTGAGAATTTTTAACAATTTAATTTTGCAGGAAATATAAATATATTTGTAAAATGTTTTTTATTTAGGGTTTTAAAAAATATTATTTAGAGAATTTTAAGAGGTTCGAAAATTAAAAAAAAATATATATAATTTTTTTTAACATTTGATTTTTTTAAGAGCTTCTAGAACTAGAAAAAAATCTAAAATATTTTTTATATTTTTAAATTTTTTACAGATTCCAGATGTAGTTATAAATTTGGTACAAAAAATGCAATTTGCTCCTGGATCTTTTGAAAACCCTATTATAATCATATTTATTAACATTTTTAAAAACCTATATTTGTTTAGAAAGCCTATAATTGTTTAGGAATTTCATAATTCCTAAGAATGACGACGGAAAACGGCTTGTCAGCCGGAGGATTTAAAATCAAAAACCTAGTTCTTAGGCTTTTAGAACAGTGTTGCCATGTTTGTTCGGGATACCGTAGTATTTCCTTAGGCTTTTAAGCTAACTAATGTCGTAGGTATATAAAAATAATATTTTTTAAACGTTTTTTATTTAGGGGTTTCAAAATATCTCCGAAAATTAAAAAAAAAACATATCTGTATTATTTATATTTTTTTAATAATTTTTTTTAAGGCCTCCGAGAATTTAAAGAAAATTAAAAACTAAAATATTTTTTTACATTAAAAAATTCTTATTTTTTTTTTGTATAAATAAAAGAGGTTGTTTTTTTTTTGAAACATTTTAGAGCTCCATGAATTAAAAAAATATATTTTTTTGCATTGAATAGTTCGTACATTTTTATAAAATTAAGAGGTTCTAGATTTTTATTAATCATCTAAAAAATTTAATTATCTTCCAGATGTAAATTCTTTCAACGGCATTTTTTACATTTTAAAATGTCATTTCTAAAATACTAAATTTAAGACATTCAAAAAAATTTAAGAGCTCTTGTTATAAATAATATATTTTTTATTTAATTAATTTTTTGAGACTCCTGAATGTCGACAATTTGGCACTAATTTTTTTTTTCAAATAACTCCTTTTTAAAAAAGTAATTTTCTAATAATTTTTGAAGGACATATCATCCCAATATTTGAAAAAAATGTATTGATTATTTTTTTCAAATTAATAATTTTAGGAGAACATATCAAAATTCACAGTTTATGAACTATTTTCCAATTTGTCTAGATTATGCCTAAATTTATGCTACACATTTTACATTTGAAACATTTATTTACCACTTTGAAGTTGTGGTGAGGTGAATTGGCTCTCTTTGTGAAAAACAAATTTTGTCAAAGCTGCCAAGACAAGCGTTGGTACCCCCATTTTCCATCTACTACGGGAAAAATTAATTATTTTTTATGGATACAAGCTTCTATAAAATGCATAATGGAAATAAACACTTAAAGTGGATTTTTTTTTTACATTTTACAATTTTCTTCAAATGATCCCTAATACATTTTATTTAGGATATCTTGCTTTTAAAAATTTTCAAATCTCTTGTAAAAATTATATTTTTATATATTTTATTTTGGTTTTATAACTAATGACTCCTGAATTTTTCAAAAATTTATTAATTATTTTTTGTCACATGCTTACCTCTTACAAAATCAATTTGTTTATAATTTTTAGAGAACATGTCAAAATTCCCAGTTTATGAACTATTTTCTATTTTATCTGTATCATGCCTAAAACTATGCTACTCATTTTACATTTGAAACACTTTATTATTTACCACATTGAAGTTGTGGTAAGGTGAGTTGGCTCTCTTTGTGAAATAAATTTTGTCAGAGTTGCCAAGGCAAGTGGAAACCCTTAAAGGTTTCCCATTTTAAATTACTTCGTGAAGAATGCATTATGTTTTATAAATACAATCTTCCAAAAAAAAAAAAAAAAATGCATAGTTGAATGAAACTCTTAAATGAGCTAGATGCACCATAAGAAATGGGAAATATGGCCTTAAAAAGGGAAAACATCCCAAAATTTCATAAATTATGTCAAAAGTATTCATTCGGCTGTCAAGACAAGCTGAGACTTCCGAAGGTATCCCATTTTCTATCTACTTCGGGAAAATTACAGTAAAACATTATTTTTTGTCCCGAAAATATAGCAAGTCTTTCAAACAAAACTCCTGAGCAGTAAAGACAGTCTCTCAAAAATTGATGTATTCAAAATTTCTTAAAATTGCAAGCTGAGAAATGGGAAAAATGTCCTCCAAAGAAATATGTATTCCAATTTTCTTAAAATTGCCAGTTGAGAAGAAAAGAAGAACCTATATTCAATTTCTGTGAAAATAAGAGAAAACCCGCTCGGAATAGAAAAAAAACATTTCGAATGGAAAAAAGAACCACTTGAAATGAAAAAAGGTATCATGCCTAAAACTATGTTGCTAGGGTTATCCAAGAACATGGAAATCCTCAAAGCTACCCCATTTATTATCTATTTCGTCAAAAATTAAGGAAAAACATTATTTTGTATGGAGACAAGTTCCCAAATAGATGTGTACAATGAAAATAACGTTGAAATGGACCAAGAGCCCCAAAAAATTATAAGACTTTGAAAAAATCCTCATAACTATTTCAGAAAAAGTTGATGTATTTAAAAGTCCTAAAAATTGCCAGCTGCAAAGATATATAGGAACTTTAATTGTAAATAATGTGAAAATCATGTAAAATGCCTAAAACTCTGCTACACATTTTGCATTGAACATGTTACCATAACACCTTGAACTTATGGTGAGGCAAAGGCACGCCATTTTCTATCTACTTCGGATAAATTGCAGGAAAATATTATAAAGACAAGTCTTTACGAAATCAGGTTTCAAAAAATTATTAAAAAGTTTTAAAGTTCTGAGATTGTATTATTAATAAATTAAGTGTCCATTTCGGGGAAAATAAGGTAAAATCCACTTGGAATGAGAAAACTCTGCTAGAAATTAAAAAAATGTCTCATGCCTAGAACTATACTACATATTTTACATCAAAATTATCTCACCATAATACTTTGAAGTTATGATGAGGTGAGTTTGTTTGTTTGGAAGGGACCCCATTTTTCATCTACTTATGGATAATTGTAAAGAATCTCAAAAGTTTTTACAAGAGCTGGAACGTATGGAAAATAGGCCTCAAAATTTTACAGTGAGAAAAAATCTGTAAAAATCCATCTGAAATAAAAAATCTCAAGTTTTCTGTATCTTGAAAATGAGTCAGAAATATTTGATTGTAGTAAGAAAACAGTTCTGCTCTGGAAAAAATAGTACCCAAAATAGCAGATGTAACAGAAGTAGCTAGCTTTAAGGTAAAATACGTCCTAAAAAGCCTCGCACAGTAGGGTTTAGAGATCCCAGACTTCCATAACCATACAAAAAAGTTTAGGCAATTTCTCCTAAAGCCTCGAATATTTGGAAATTATATGAATGATTGAATGCAGGTTCCAATTTTCAATTCTGGCATAAATCCACTTGAAATGAAAAAATGTCCCATACCTAAAACTATACTACATATTTTACATTAAAGATAGCTCACCATAATACTTAGAAGTTATGGTGAGGTGAATTTGTATTTGTTTGAAAGGTACCCCATTTTCTATCTACTTATGGTAAATTGTACAGAACAGCAGATTATTGAGTCCCCATAGACGTCGACGTAGTTAAAGGATCTCAAAAGTTTTTACGAGAGCTGGAACGTATGGAAAATAGGACTCAAATATATTTATAGTGAGAAAAATTCTGCAAAAATCCATCTGAAATACAAAATCTCAAGTTTTCTGTATCTTGAAAATGAGTCAGAGATATTTGATTGTACTGAGAAAAAAGTTCTCCTTTGGAGAACAAATAGCGCCCAAAATAGCAGATGTAACAAAAGTAGCTAGGTTTTGGTTAGAAGACGTCCTAAAATGCCTAGCACAGTGGTAGTTAGAGATCCCAGACAAAGATTCGAACATTTGAAAATTGTCTGAATGTTTGAATGCAGGTTTCAATATTCAATTCTGGCATGAATCCACTTGAAATAGAAAAAAGTCCATACCTAAAACTATACTACATATTTTACATTAAAAATAGCCCACCATAATACTTGGAAGTTATGGTGAGGTGAATTTGTTTGTTTGAAAGGTACCCCATTTTCTATCTACTTATGAAAAATTGTACAGAACATCAGAAGGATCTCAAAAGTTTATACCATAGCTGGAACGTGTGGAAAATAGTCCTCAAAATTTTACAGTGAAATAAATAAATTCCAAATTTTCTGTACTTTGAAAATACGACAGGAAATAGTTCTCTAAGTGAGGAAATTGTTCTCTCCCATAATAGATGTAACAAAAGTAAATAGGTTTTAGTTAGAAGACGTCTTAAAAGTGGACTCGCACAGTGGAGGTTAGAGGCGCCAGACTTCCTCATACATAGAAAAAAATTTGGGCAAGTTCTCCTAAAGGCTCGAACATAGGAAAATTTTCTAAATGTTAGAATACAGGTACCAAATTTTTAATTCTGGCAATAGACTATTGCCAATTTTTTTTTTAATCTAATGAAAATTTAGAATGATCTGATCATGATTTGTTATAAAAACCTCTTACAACACTGCTTACCGAAATCTGAGTAGTATGTAATATATATACACTATATGTATATTTAGAGAGGTGCTTAGAAAAGTAAAAAAATTAAAAAAAATATTGGGATATGGCTATACCATTCTATGTTTGGGGGGTATTTTTTGAGAGAGAGTATTGAGCATTCCTGAGTAGAGGGGGGTTTAGTTAGGTTAAGGTTGCGGTGAAAGTGTGGTTGGTTGGTTGTTTGGTGTTTTTTTTTTTGGAGAAATATATAGTTCTGTTATTTAAAAGGCATGCACTGACATGCTTTATTTAAGAAAAAAAAATTATGTGTGGTTATCGTTCCTTGCCAATGGGATTTGTTTTGGTTTCTCGAAAACATTTCCGTTTTCTTTTTAAAGGTTTTTTTTTTCTTTTTCAAAATATTGTCTGTTTTGAGTATTGTAAGAGAGAGAAAAAAAAAAGAAAATATGATTCGAAAACATGCCATTTCTGTTTTGAATAAAATTTTTTTATATATAATTGTATATATATATAAATGAGAAGTAGTTGGAAAAAAAAGTTTATACACATTGCATACAAGTGGCTATAAGTTAGGAAATTTTTTCGTTTGGTTTTGAAAAAAAAATTTTTTAAGGAAAAGAGTAAACGATTTTTTTGTTGTATTTTTCTTTTTTTTGTACGCATTTGTTGTTGTTGTTTTCAGAAACATTTGAAAATATTCAAATGGCAGACATAAAAATATTCAAATAACAGACAACCTTGTTTTTTGGATTTTTTTGTTGTTGTTGAAAAAATAGGGTATTTTTTGAAAATTGGAGAACAGTTGTGGAACGAACTTTGTGTAGAATTTTTTTTTGGGGGGGAGAGAGAGAAAGAGAGTAGAGTTTTTGTGGCAGTTTGGCGGAGTGTTTTGTTTTTTCAAGGGGGCCCACTCACACACAACACACACACAGTTATTTGTAGGAAACGAACGAACGAGCGAGCGAGAGAGAGAGAGAGAGAGAGTTAGAGAGTGGGGAGTTTTGTTTTGGGTTCCTGATATTTACAATTTGTTTGTTTTTTTTTTTTCTAAGTTTTGGAAATTGGCACAGATTTTTTGTTTTCAAATAAAATTTAAAATTTTGATTTTTTTTTGTTGTTGTTGTTTTTTTTTCGTTACGCTAATCCTTTTGTGTGTGTCAGGTTGATTATTTTGGTTTTTTGTTTTTTGTTATTATTATTGTTATTTAGGTTAGGGTTGATTCAAATTCGAAGCCTTACCCTCGGTCTTGGAATGGCTTTTAATGGTTTTTTAGAGCCCATCTTTTTCATAGCATTATAGTACTTTTTCTGATCTTCTGTCATGAACATTTCTAATGATCCACCTGCTTTCTTCTTTTGTTCATTAAAATTATCAATGATAACACCAATGAACAGATTGAGTGTGAAAAATGATCCAAATATAATGAAGAATACGAAATATAAATACATGTAGATATTGGTTTCTCGGATCGGCTGCTTGTCCACCTGTGTGTGTTTTTTCGGTTTTTTTTTTTGGGGTATTTTTGTTGGAGAGTGTTTTTGTTGTAGATGGTGTTTTTTTTTGAGTAGTTGATGTTTGGTGTATGGGGTTCCAAAATGTGTTGGGAGGACAAGTTGTTGTTGTTGTGGTTTTTTTTTTTTTTTGGTGATTTGAATGATGATATTTTTGTATTTTTATTTTGGTGATTATTTTCATGTCATAATTTCATTAAGGAATAAGAAAAAGGTAAAAAATAGAAAAAATCGATTATTAGTATTTTTTTCTGGTTTTGTGTCTCAAAATTAAAAAAAATTCGTGTTTGAAAACTACTTAGAAAATATGTGAAAAAAATTAGATTACGCATAGTTTACCTCTCGTGAATCAATGGCATCGTTCATAATCTGGATCCAGCCCTTAAAGGTGGCCACTTGAAATAGACAGAGATACGCATTACCTACATGATCGAAGTTCATTGCCGAATTTTCCCAGGTGTAGTTTTCACTTTTGCAGGCATTACGATTCGGTATGATTTCATGGCTCAGCACAGTGTCATTACCATCTTTACACTGTTTTACAAAGACGAACGAACGAAGGAATATCGAAAAAAAAAATAATTCCAAATATTTTTGGGTTATGGAAAAGACACAAAAAGACATTAATTGGAAATTTGTTTGCAATTGCATTAAATATACATACAAATATTACCCAGTAGTTTTTTTTATATACAATAATAATAATTTTTATACCATAAAAAATATATAAATTTTTTATACAAAAAAAATAATAATAAAATAAAAAAATATTATAAAGCTATAAAGCAGCTATATTAGCACAAGTCTATTTTTTCCACTCCAAAAAAAGTGGTAGATTTTTTTCTCAATTTTTTTTCTGTACAAGTGCCACGCTCTGTTTAATTGTTCTATGTTATCTAAAAAAAGCTAAGGCGAGCGTTTTTTATACTATTTTTTTTTTAAATTATAAATCACTCATTTTTTTGTTTGTTTTCTAAATGAGTTATAGGAAAGCTATTCATTTTTATTTTTTTTACTAAAATATACATAAAAAAATATTTATATATATATTTTTTTCGGAATATGCCACAACATTGGAAATGGTTGTCTTAACTCAAGGGAAAAAAGTAGGGAGATTATAGAAAATAACTTAGAAAAATCCATATTTTTTAAATTTTCTTTTATGTCCTGAAAGATGAAAGTTCGCAAAAAATCCACTTGTAGTATTTTTACAAAAAAAAAAAAAAAAACAAGAAAATGCTTCCCCATAGGAAAATATATCTTAAAATGCCTTGGGAAGAGTCTTCCCTTCAAATTCTCAACCAAAAATATAAGTGTGAAAATTAAAATAGCAATTGCACAGTTTACTGAAATCCTTTTAAAGACCGTCTACCAAAACAAAAAAAAAAGAAAAAAAAAAAAAAAAAAAAAACAAGTGAAAAGCCGAACTTTGAATATCCTCCTCCATTTGGAACAAAATTGGCAATTTTCTTTAAAAAAATCTTAAAAATTCTGTTAAAATCTTAAAAATACTGAATGTAGCCGTTATATATCTATACGACGACGTGGCCCTGCACAACCAATTTTCTGTTTAAAATTGTAGAATCTATTACGAACTTCAAATACCAAATTTGAAACAGTTCCAGTAAATAATGTTGCTAAAATCATCAAAATACCAAAAATCCCGAGGTACCGTTATATGGGGGCTATAGGAAGACGTGGACCTGCATAGACATTTTTCTGTCTAGGGCTGTAGTATCCATTACGAACTTCAAATACCAAATTTGAAACAATTCCGGTGAATAATGTCGCTTAAATCACCAAAATACCGAATATAGGGAGGTACCATTATATGGGGGCTATACGAAGACGTGGACCTGCAGAGATAATTTTCTGTCTTAGGCTGTAGTATCCATTACGAATTTCAAATAGCAAATTTGAAACAATTCCGGTGAATAATGTCGCTAAAATCATTAAAATAACGAATATCGGGAGGTACCGTTATATGGGAGCTATACGAAGACCTGAACCTGCACAGACAATTTTCTGTCATAGGCTGTAGCATCTATTACGAACTTTAAACATTAATTTTGAAACCATTCCGGTAAAAAATGTCGCTAGAATCATAAAAAACCACATATCGGAAGGTACCGTTATATGGGGGCTATAGCTATATCTGAACCGATCTTCACCAAATTTAACATACTAGCTTCTAGACTCAATTCGGTCGTAAGTTCCAAATTTTATCCCATTTGGACAAATATTAGACGTTTGGTGCACAATAAAAGGTAAATCGGACGAAGTTATATATGGGAGTATAGCTCCAAATCTGAACCGATCTCGATAAAATTTAGCAAAGGTATTTCTGAGCTGTATTTGATATATATCCTTGAATATCGTTGTTACAGAGTGCATATTACGGCTGCGGAGGACAAAAATAACAAATTCGGATGAACAGTATATATGGGAGCTATAGCTATATCTGAACCGATCTTCACTAAATTTGACATACTAGCTTCTAGACTCAATTCGGTCGTAAGTGCCAAATTTCATGCCATTTGGACAAATATTAAACGTTTGGTGCACAATAAAAGGTAAATCGGACGAAGTTATATATGGGAGTATAGCTCCAAATCTGAACCGATCTTGATAAAATTTGGCAAAGATATTTCTGAGCTGGATTTGATATATTTCCCTGAATATCGTTGTTACAGAGTGCATATTACGACTGCGAAGGACAAAAATAACAAATCGGATGAGCAATATATATATGGGAGCTATAGCTATATCTGAACCGATTTCGATCAAATTTGGCATACTTATTTTCAGGCCTCAATTGGTTGTATGTACAAAATTCCATACTATTCGGGCTGATATTACACGTTTGGTGTACAATTGAAGGCAAATCGGACGAAGTTATATGCGGGAGCTATATCTAAATTTTTAACGATTATCTCCCATTTTGAATAGGGTTCGTCTTTGGGCCAAACAAATGATTTGTGCAAAATTTCATCTGGATCAGGTAATAAATGCGAACTGAACTTTGTTTACAAAAATACATGACAGACGGCCGGACGGACATGCATAAATCGACTCAGAATGTGATTCTATGCAGATCATCGAAAGGAACTTTGGGTCTATCTCGTTTCCTTTTGCCTGTTATAAACAAATGCACAAAGAGATAATACCCTGAGCACCTTGTGGTGTAGGGTATAAAAATTGTAGATTTATCTGCATCACAACGTATATATGTCCATCTAATAAAAAATGTCAATATATTGGGCTCTCTGGTACAAAAATATATTGATTTGTTAAGATTCCAATAGATGAAACCTGCGATGGCAACACTGTTGCTCATGTTTAGCAAAACTCCTAGAAGTATGCACCGAAAAATTCAAAAACTCATTATCTCAAATTACTTAACTCCATCTATAAGGGCACATTAGTCTTATTCACCACACAAGCATTATTGATATGCAACTCCCTAAAGTAGGCAATGGTTTTCTCACACATTTAAGGGGATTTATAGGGATGACACTTTGAGATTTCTATTCGGTAAAAAAGTGGGGAAAATTCAATGAATTGTCCCATAAATAGAGCAGAAATGGTACGAAAAGTAAAGAAGCGACTTGATCGAAACCCGCGACGCAGTGGTCGAAAAATGGCTCTTGAGCTGAACATATCGCAATATTCCATTCGGCAAAGCCATTGAAAAATGAGCTCGGGGTAAAGCCATTGAAATTCCAAAAAGTGCAAGAACTTACACCGCAAGAGAAAGAAAATAGAAGAGCGCAACAAAATAAAAAAAAAAATTCGAGTAGTAGATTTTCTGTGGATTTCAAAAAAAAAAAAAAATATATAGTCAATTATTTGAAAACTTTTTATTATTTAATTTTATTAATTTTCGACATTTTTAGTTTTCTGTCAATTTACAACATAAAAATATAATTAAATATTAAATATATTTATATAGAGTTCATTATTTGGGATTAATTTTTGACTGAAGCCTAAAAGTAAAGAAAAGGAGAACGAGGCAATATATTTCGACGCCAGAATAAATATGTCCCTTGGAGATAATTGTCTAAATCAGTTCCTGAGATAAAGGTAAAGCCTAGGTTTCCTATATCTCAGAAATTGTATTTTTCCTGAGTTAAAAATCTGTTTGAAACCCTTAATAAAAAAATTGAGATTTCCTTATTTTAAACTTCCAATGATGTGGCATATTTTGAATACAGATTCTAATTCTATACACTATTGATTATTTATAAATATATTCATTATTTTTAATATTTTTTTAATTTTTTTTAACTAGGAAGGTATTAAGTTTATTGCATGTCTATATCCATGGCCATAGAACTTGAATACCTATTTTTTTTCATCAACTATTTACGAAAAATAGATGCAAAGATACGCTTTAAAAAGTTCGTATTTCAATAGATTAAGAATTCTCCTTATTTGGGGGGCAAATTAAATGCCAGATTCTTGAATTTGAATTTTTCAATGCTAATTTTTAACTGCTCTGTAGTATAATTTGTATTTTTTTTAAATAAATTCGGAATTTTGGTAACCTTTTGATTGGTGTTGGAATTTTTATTTTTTTGCCTCAATCAAAAAGTTCCATAATTATGTGTTTTTTTTTTGCATTTGTTTTTGGTTTCACTTTTGTTTATTTTTAGATTAACGTACCTTAAAATATTTTCCAGCAAAAAGCTGTACTCCCATAATGGCAAAAATAAGCCAAAATATCAGACACACCAATAGCACATTGAAGATGGACGGTATAGCTTGAACCAGCGCATTCACGACAACCTTTGGTATTTGTATTTTTGGTTTTTGGGATGTGATTTGTGATTTACAAATTTGGGGGTTTTTGGATTCGGATGAGGAATTGCAGCGCCAATCGAAATTTGCAGATTGTTTTTTGTTTTGAGGATGATAAGGTTGTCGGAGTGATTTTTTTTTTGCACATAATGTTGGAGTGATGGATGGAATGTTGTTGAATTTTTTTTTGTTTTTTTTTTTGGGGAAAGGAAATAAATAAAATTGATTTTTACATTTTAATATAAGTCAATAAATTTTTCATATATTTTATAAAGTGTGTTATATTTTTTTTTGGTGGGTAAAATAGATTCAAGAAATTAACTAATTTCTATGGATGATGGAGATGGAGAGTTAGTAAGGGCTACAAATAATTACAAAGAGTAGGATAAAGAAAGGAAATCGATTTCTTGCCTTGTCTCTTTAATATTTAAATGCATGTGAGTATTGCAAACCAACATAAAAAGACAAGGGTAAAAATCGATCTAAAGATCCCTATTTTTATGTACACACTACACACAAAACATGCAGTACTCATACGACAAATGCGCATTGATTACGGCAGGCAATACAAAGCATCAACATAAAAATGAGGCACAAATTACAGCAGACTTTAAAATAGAGAATTTTTTTACAATATTTTACATATCAAACATAAAAAAAATTCGGGTGAACAAACATTGGTTTTCAGTTCTTGCAATAAATTGTACGATTTGTATGATGTCTATAATAAATCGGTTACTAACTACCATAAATACTTAAAATAACTCAAATACACTACAAAATAACAATGGAATATGGTCGGTTTTTTTTCTGAATTTGAATTGATTAGGCATTTCGTGGTGATAAATTCATAAATAATTTCTATTTTTTGTTTTTACAAAATGTCATAAAAAGTTCTAAACTAAAATATTAAAGTAAGCAAAGAGATTTGAAAATAAAATAATCGAACTTAAAATTTGAGCTAAGAAATGGTACAAAATGTTGGCATTGGTGTAGATGGCTTGGTTTTTATTAAGAGCGTTCGTAGAATGTAGATCAGGAAGTATTTTAGAATAGTATTTTTGGCAATAGTATTTTATAGGTCAAATGTCAATATGATGGGAGTTCAAGATGTAAGTTTAAAATAGTACCTGACATCAATTTTCAAATAAAATATTTAATTTATGGGCAACAGGTTTTAAAATCCTTCAACCTACCGGCATTTCTATAGGGAAAAATTTCATCGACTTCAAAAATGGGTTCCTCAGAAAATTGGGTGCTTTGGTTTCCCTCTTCATGATAACTTTGACTTTTGCCGTCAAGAGGACTATGTGTTATTCAGGATAAAGTAAACGAGCATTGCATTTCGAAATCATTCCAGAAGAATGAAGAACTGTCATCTGAACTCAAATGACATAACTATTCCTTTGCATCATCCTCAAGCCGAATTAAAGGGATTTTAACATAAGAACGATGGAGATTTATGTCAAATGACCAAAATTTCTCTTTCCAAAATCCTCAAGAAAAGTTAAAAGATTTAAAAAAAATATGGATCTATGGAAGATCTTAACGGATAAGTTAACATGTTTTTATAATAAAAGAGAATACCAGGGGCTATCTAGTTTAGAAGAGAGATTTAGAAATAGAGATCTTTTTAATACAGTCCTCCTTAAATAAAATATGAAAATGTGCCGAGCAGACCTTCGGATCATTAGAAAAAATTTAATGAAATAGAATATTCCGTTGCTACATGTGGTATTTTTGGATTAGATTACGAGATCTAACCTGGACTACAAACTGATAAGTTTAATGTGTAGCATATTTGGGTATTTCATATCTTCGAGAAAAAAATCAAACTTTAGCAGGTAAAATTGGTTAACTGATCTCTTGAAAGTTGCCTCTTTGTTTCAAAAATTACATGGAAATTGCTTGGGCGCCATTCTAAAATATTCAAAATTAGTTACGAAGTTAGTTAGCTGGCTCGAGATTTACTCCAGACCCACTTTGGCAGACTCCTTCTCAATTTGTTCAAAGGTGGCTGTTACCGCTCTCAATGTTCGACCCATTATTTCGATGTCATCGGCGTAGGCGAGCAACATGTGTTGTTTGGTGTACAGAGTGCCATTTCTGTTCACCTTTGCATTTCGTATGACCTTTTCCAGCAGGATGTTAAATAGGTCACACGAGAGGCTGTCACCTTGTCTGAACCCTTGTTCGGTATTGAAGGGCTCCGAGAGGTCCTTTCCGACTCTAACTGCTGACCTTGTGCCAGTTAAAGTTATACTGCATAGCCTTATTATTTTTGCAGGTATGCGAACGCAGAAATGGCTTTAAACACCTCTGAACAAATATATATAAGTCAAATGCGGCTTTATAGTCGACGAAGAGGTGGAATGTGTTCATATGTTTTTCGTGGGGTGAAAGTCTGGTCTATGGTGGATTTGCCAGGTCTGACGCCGCATTGGTATTGTCAAACAATGTCATTGACTATTGGCTTCAGTCGTTCACACAACACGCTGGAAAGCACTTTATACACGATGGTAGGTACTAATCTAATCGTAATCTGGAAATGACAATATTTGCAGAAATTCTTGGAAAATCGACAATTTGAGGATAAACGAGGAAACTACAATTCATCCGGATACAAGTAGATAATCACTGAGAACCCAAAAAAGTAGTTTTTTTTTGTTAAATGAAAACAAATTGGGCGCCATAGCAAAACATCGGATATTTTTTATATAGGGAGATAAAAGCTAATGCTTCAAGGGGCTTTTCCAGAACATGAAAATACTAAGGACGGGTTTGTAATAACTTTGGCGGAGTTTGGAAAATATGATGAAATATGGGAGAAAATTGTTTGGGCGCCATTACAAAATATTTAAAATGGAGAGGTCAATATTCTTATTTAAAATTCTCCGACAGTATTTTAAGTGCAACGCCAACGGTTCAGCTCTATTTCAAGGCGAAGCTGAATGATACATTATTTGGAAATCCGTATTTGCCGGACTTTGATGCATTCAAAAACACCTACTTGACAATAATAACCTTATTTTCTCCCAGCCCTGGCTAAACACAATTTATGTAAAATTCGATTTCGAGTTCAGATTTATTACGGCAAATGATCTTAATGACTTTTTCCAAATGTCAGATTTTTATATCGTTCAAAAACTACAATTTTGTCTTATATAAATTTTAATATAAATTCAGGTTTCCCAACCCTGGTGTAGTGATAATTTTTTGTCAAGGTAATCGATTGTCATTTTTGCATTTTAAGGAAAAGCTAAATTGAGGATTTTGGGAGTTAATAAGTCCCAGGTTGATAGAAAAAATACCAAATTGGCATCTCTTTACAGAGTTCCAAAGTGGCGCCTAGGAGTATGCTATAATTTTTAAAAGGTATTTACTATATTTATTCCTCTTTCTGTGGAACATGAGATGAATTAGTAGAGTTGAGTTCTCATTTGATGGTTACAATTCAACCACTTTATTGGAACAGTGATGTCAATGTGTACATTTGTAAAAAATCGTTAATTTTCTGAAACGGCGTTTTTTTATTTTTGTTTTGTATTGATATTGATATTGATTAATCGAAGAATGCAACCTATTTTTGATGAAATATTGGTACTTTAGTGTATTTCTACTTCGCCTAAGAGTATGCTACAATTTTCCAGAAAAAGGTCTTTTTCAGCATTTTCAACTCATTATCTTAAACATGGGGTAAATTTGTGGAGTTGCGTTCTTATTTGATTGTTAACATTTATCCGAATTTAGAAAAAGTGATGCCAATGTGTGGCTTGGTAAAAAACGCCATATTTTTGAAACGGCGATTTTTTCTTTGTTGAATTTGGACATTTTTTTAATCAAAGAATGCAACGTAGTTTTTTTGGTATTTAGGGGTATTTCAATTTTTTCGTCAGTGTTGTCAATGGAGATTTCTTGCAAAAAACGCTGCTTTCTCCTGGTATTGCCACAATTTATGTATTTTCTTTATTTTTTACCTCTTTCTTCTGAAAAAGGGGGGAATTGGTGAAGTTGAGATCTCATTTGGTGGCTACAATTTAACGATTTTTTGGAACAGTGTTGTCAATGTGTGGATTTGTAAAAAAACGTTAGATTTTCTGAAACGGCGCCTTTTACTTTTTGCATTTAGAATTTATTAATAAAAGACTGCAACCTATTTTAATTAATACTTAATTGTATTTCCATTTCGCCTAAAAGTATGCTACAATTTTCATGGAAACGGGCTTCTTCAACATTTTCACCACATTGTCTTAAATATAGGGTGAATTTGTGACGTCGATTTCTCATATGATCTTTAATATTTATCCAAATTTAGAAACAGTGATGCCAATGTGTGGTCTAGTAAAAAACGCCACATTTTTGAAACGGCGATTTTTTCTTTAATGAAATGTGAATTTATTAATCAAAGAATGCAACGTAATTTCGATGCAAATTTAGTACTCAGGGGAATTTCTAATTTTTTTAACAGTCTTGTCAATGGGAATTTTTTTGCAAAAAACGCTGGATTTCCCTAGAACTCGAAAAATGGAGAAAAACAATGGGTTTATGATTTCGATTTGGATTTTAAGGGAGGAAAAGATTAGAATACATAAGGTTTGAAATATTTAGTTTGACTGAACAGGATAATAGATCAAAATCTCCATAATTTATTTGAATATTGACATTTGTACCTATTTGGGTATAAAAACCACTTAATTTTTTTAAATATATTTTTTTAGCTTTTTTATTTCTATTTCTATTTTATTTATTTATTTTTATTTATTTTATTTTTTATTTATTTTATTTTATTTTTTAGTTTTATTTTATTAATTATTTTTTTTAGCTTTTTTATTTTTCTATTTTTTATTTCTATTTTATTTTTTATTTATTTTATTTTTATTTTATTAATTTTTTTTTAGCTTTTTTATTTTTCTATTTTTTATTTATTTTTTATTTATTTTATTTTCTATTTTATAAATTATTTTTTTTATCTTTTTTATTTCTATTTTATTTCTTATTTATTTTATTATTTTTTTTTATTTTTAATTTTTATTTTATCTATTTTATTTAAATTTCAAATAATTCTGTTAATTAATTTTCTTTAAAAAATACTTCCTTTGTGTTTGTAAATATATGTAAAAAAATATGATGTCCTTGGAATAATCGTTTGTTTTTTTATTGGCAAATTTTGTTTGATTTAATGATTTAAGCGTGTGTTCTAATCTAATTTCATTTCAAAAATTAATTAAGGCATTCAAAACAAAACTCATTCACTTAGTTAAGTAATTAACAACTAATTTGGAGAGAGAGAAAAAAAAAGAGGAACAAGGTGATTTTTTATGACTCGCTGAAACATTTGACTGCAAAATGAGGTTCTACGGAAAAATTCTAATATTTTTTTTTGGTTTTTTGGGTGAGAGGCGGGGGCGTATTAATTCAAAAACAAAAAGTTCATTTAAAATGACAAAGTTTTTTATGGAACTCTGAGTGGCTAAGACTAAATCGAAAAAAAATCAATAAAAAATGGTTTCAAAAAAATGCATTTCTAATAACTAAATGCTATTGGCAATGATGATTTTTTGTTGAATTTAATGGAGAATTAAAAAAAAACAAATTTTTTCAAGGGGTGTTGTTTGAAGTACTAGATTTTTTTTTATATATAAAAAAATGTGGTGGTTTTTTTTTTCTGATAAAAAATAAATGATTTTTTTGTTGATTTTATTTATAAAAAATAAGACCTGGTGATTTTCGTTGTTGTTATGGTTTTTTTTTTTGGTTTTTTAAAAAAAAATGTTACTGAAAATGTTATGGGATGTGTAAAGAAAGTACGTACCCTCATGCCCTGCATTCGGGACATGGCACGTAGTGGTCTCAGTGCTCTTAACGTTCGCATAGTCTTGAAGGCTTGTATACCACCAGCTCCAGCAAGTGAAGCAACGAAGTTGATAAGCGACACCTAGTTTGCCAAATGGTTGGTTGATTTTCATAAAAACGGGGGGAGGGGGGATTGCTTGTTTAGATAATTTGTCGATTTTTTTTTTCATAAAATTGATTTATTTTTTTATTTTATTTTTTTGTTATTGTTTAAGAAAAAAGTCTTTGTTTTGTGGTTGTGAGAGAGAGAGTTGATATGTGAGAGTTTTGTTTCCGTTAGAGTTTGGGGGGAGAGGTGAAAAAAAAATATTGTCCCTGTTTTTATTTTTTTCTGGGCCCTTATCAGTCTCCTGAGTAGAAAAGTCATTTTAAATTGTTTGGTTTCATTGAGTTTTGAGATAAAAAAAAATATAAAAATCAATAAAAAAATTAAGGAAATTAAAGAGAAAGAATAAAAAGTAACATTTAAGGAAATATATGGAACATAAAACACATATAGCATTAACATAAAATTGTTGTTATTTTTGGGATTTTGAGTTATAAAGCCAATGCCATACAGTGTTGTATTTGTAACGTTTTTGCTTAACGGCGAGTTGACAACATTGAAGGCTATACTTATGGACTTAACCTAGATTTTTATGGCCTAAAAATACCCTGACTTATGACTTAGTTTTTTTTTTCATAGATCCGTTATAAACAAATGCTTAAAAAATTAAAAAAAAAAAATTGAAATTTGATGAAAAATTTTTACAATTTTTTTTAAAAAAAATTATTTACAATTTTTTTTTTTTTGATGAAAAAATTAAAATAATAAAGGCAAGCATTTGTTTATTGCAGATCATCAATTAAATATATTAAAATAGTAAAATAATCTACTAGGTTTTTGGTTTGCCTTAATTTTGACAAATTTTTGCTTTAACTTTGCTGCCGGACTCAATGGAGAAGTAGCTGTGTGGTTTTTTTCGTAATTTTTTTAGTTTTATTTCTTGGATTTTTTTTGGAGGAGGGGGGGGGCCTTACAACATCTCAAACATTTTCCCAGCTCAAAGGATACATGGAATTCTAGCCTACTTGAAATTTGCCCAAGACGAAGCGATTTGGGTAGATTTTTTTTTTTTCAAAAAAAAAATTTTTTTTTTTTTGGTAAAGCATTTTGCTAAAATGTTAGGAGTTTCATAAGTAAAACACTGCCACCACTGCGCAGGCGTATTCAATTTGTATAATTTTTTTCAAAATTGTGGATTTTGAAGTTTTTTTTTTTTTTGCTGTTGTTTGGAATAATTTACAATAGTTTGTTTTTGGTTTGATCGGTGGATTTTTGTACAGTGGATTTTGGTTTTACTTTGCAAACTTTCACAATGTAGCGGAATTTTTTGTAAAATTTACGAAATTTGTTTTTTTCTAGCCTGGGACGTGCTTGGGAAAAATTGATATGCTTGGGTCCTTGGTAATAATGACAAAAAATTGGTTGGAATTTTTTACATTTTTTTTTCTTTTGAGGACCAGGGGAAAGTCTAAAGACTTCAAAGTATTTTTTTTTGGAAAATGAGCGAAATTTATATCAATTTTATTTGTTTTTTTTTTTTTTTTTTTTTTTTTTTGTGAAAGGGAATTGGAGTGTCTCTTAGCTACTGGTTATGAGAAAAATTCTAGAATTTCTATCAAAAATTGCTATTTTTGGGAATTTAAATACATCAGCTACTTTCCCAAGTTATTTAACATTTTTAATTTAACACAGCTAAAAAATATTTTTTTTACGAAAAAATCCAACTAGAATCTATTTTTTTCAAATATTTTACATTTTTTTAAAAGGGTTTTCGGGGTCAGCAAAAATTTGTTTACAATATTTTTCAACTAAATTCTAGTTTTAATAATATTCTAAAAATATATACTTAAATATTATACTTTTTTTTTTCGAAATTCTATTCAACATTTTTTCAAATATGTATACAAATCTGAAAAACTTCAAACACGGTGCAACTAATTTGTTTGTGTAATTATTTTTCACTAATATTTCAGATTTGTAAACCCCACTAAATTTACCGTTCAAGGTGGTCTACTTAACTACAACTACATTTTCGATTATATTTTTCAATTAACTACTTTTGCTCGATTATACTTTTAAATACTCTACCTATAATACCTATATACTTCCTATAAATAATATATATTTTTTTAATAACAATATATTTTATTCAACTCAAATTTTTTACAACATCTAGGCAACATAGATACGTTGGATATATATTCGATTTTTACAAAGCTAAAGCAAAACAGAAATAAAAATCAAATAAAACAAAAAAAATAAATAAATAACAATTAAAAATATTATAAATACTTTTTGTTTTCAAACATTTTTGCTGGATTATATATCACATTCTATTAAATACTAAAGTGCAAATACATGGGACCTTAAGAGTCTTAAATACAATACGATTTTCTTTATACAATCGTTATGAATCAAAATAATATATTCATTAAGTATTTGTTAAAAGGCAAGAGCTAAGTATTGAATTTTAAAAAACGACGATTTTAAACGCGACATGGGCCACACTCATTTCTTATATTAAATTTTATGAAGAATAAATAAACAGCGCTTTAACGTGGGCCACACTCATTTTCGTGTAACATTTGATGTATTATTAAAAAATATTAATTAGGCGTTTTTTTGAACGCAACAATGACCACACTAAATTTTTATATAATTTTATGAATAGTCAATTAACAACAACAATAATTTTGTGAAAAAATAATTAAAATCAAGCGTTTTAAAAACGCAACAATGACCACACTATATTTTTATATTATTTTATGAATAATCAATTAATATAAACAATAATTTAGTGAAAAATTAATTAACATCAATTAGGCGTTTTAAAAACGCAACATTGACCACACAAAAATACATACTTTTGTGACTCAACATTGGCTTCACTCATTTTGTTTACTTAATTTTTTGAAAAATTATTATTATCAATTTGGCGTTTTTTAAACGCAACATTGGCCACACATAAGTGTGTGTGTGTTTTTGAACGCAACATTGGCCAATATCATTCGGAAAAAAATTTTGTAAAATATTATTGATGGCGTTTTTTTAACACGCAACAATGGCCACACATATATTTTCCACTCATATATTTTATGTTATTTTGTGAAAACCCAATGAAGATCAATTTGGCGTTTTTTGGAAATGCAACAATGGTCACACACAAATATTTGTTTTCTTTTCACTCAACATGGGCTGCACTCTCTTTTTTTTATAAAATTGTATAAATAACTAATTAATATTAATTAAGCGTTTTTAAAACGCGATATTGACCACACATACATATTTACTTTTGTTACTCAATATAGGCCACTCCCATTTTGTTTACATAATTTTGTGAAAAATCAATGAACATCGATTTGGCGTTTTTTTAGAACGCAACAATGGCCACACCTAAATAAGTTTTGTTCTTTTTGTGAAAAACCAATAACCATCATTTTGGCATTTTTTGAAACGCAACAATGATCACACCTAATAATCAATTCTTTTTATTCAGCATGGGCCAAAAATCACGAAAACACCCAATTTGGCGTTTTTTTTACACATCACTCAATGTGGGCCACACCCATAATTTTTACAAAATTTTGTGAAAACTCTCAGACATCATTTTGGCGTTTTTTTTTTTCAAATGCAACAGTGATCACACATGTATATATGTTTGTTTTTGCACTCAGCATGGGCCGCACCTAGACTTTTTTATTCGTCGATTTTTAGCCGCAAGAATGAGCCACAACCATATTTTTTATGAAATGTGAAAAATCGATAAAGATCATTTTGGCGTTTTTTTTTACCGCAACAATAAAAAAATGTCAAACCCATTTTTTATATATTTTTTTAAAAACAATTGACAATCAATTTGGCGTTTTTTGAAACGCAACAATGGTCACACTTAATAATATGTATTTTTCACTCAGCATGGAATTTGATTTGAAGTATTACGAAATTGGCGTAGTTAAAACGCTACAATGATAACATTGCCATTTTTTTTTTCGTTAAACGTAAAAATGTTAATCAATTTGACAATCCTATTTCTATTTTGGCAATAAACGGGTATTATGAAATTGGCGTTTTTAAACGCCACAATGATAACACTGCGAATTTGCATATTTTGCTTAAGTTAAGTTTGAAAACATACGCAATATTAATTAAAATGTCTGTTTTACCCCGAAATGAGTTTTTTATGATTACAATGGAAATTGACGTTTTTTAAACGCCACATTCACCACACTGTCAATTTAAGATGAAATGGTAAGAAATTTTATTAAATTAAACAGTTTTTGACAAATTAGCCCATAAACACCTAATAAAATATGTGGCGTTTTTATAAACGCTACAATGACCACACGTCTACGTTTCGGTGAAATTATTTAAAAATTAATGTGGCAAAAAAATTTTATTTTTTTTTTTCATTTTTAATTTTCTAATTTTCATTTTTTAACATTTTTTATTTTAAAAAAGTCCAAATTTGTTAAGAAAATAAAATTTGGCGATTTTTAAAACACAGCAATAACCACACTGGAAATTCACAAAGATGAGTATGTGAAGCAGGGGTGCTCAAGAAGAAATATCTGTTTTCAGTCAAATTTCTCTTTGCTTATTTAAATCAAGAACAAAACAGTGTGAAGTCATTATTTATACAAATATTTTTTATCCATTTGCTTTATAAACTATTATGGCAAACATTCGTGTTTAAAAACAATTAAATAGAACAGTAAAATATAAAGAAAAACAGAATTTTAATTTTCTCTTAAATTATCTCTTTTTTCTCTTCATGTTCTAGAACACGGTTTTGAGCACCCCTGGTCTACGCTATAAGGTGGGCTCATAAAACACATTATGCATTACCCTTGCACTATGTAAGCTCTCTGTCAAATGGAGAGAATGCTGAACTTCATGGAAGAGGTGAGAGCAAAAGTTTTCTCTTCACTCTATCTCATTTCAACAAACTCCTGTTTATACCAAATGAATGTTATTATTGTGTCTGAGAGAGAGAATGCTGAACTTCATGGAAGAGGTGAGAGCAAAAGTTTTCTCTT